GAACAGTCATTAAATGGGCACACGGGAAACCTTATCCCCTTACAAATGTCCTTTGAAGTAATTATAATATCTTACTGGTTTCCTCATTAATCAGTAAGTTAAGTAAAATCTTTTACATGTATGTATTTTAAATTTGCATGAAAATCATGACCTTGCTTTTTTTTTCTTTTAATTTTACTTTAACAGGAAACACAGAAATATCACAAGCAAAGCCTCAGGAGTGGGACTATGAGACACAGAGAAGATTAACCAACTTGAGGAGGGATCTGCTGCTGTCTGAATGTTTGTGTATCCTCTTCCAAATTAATATATTGAAACCTAATCCCCAAGTGATGGTATTAAGAGGTAGGGCCTTTGGAAGGTACTTAGTTCATCATGGTGGAGCCCTCATGAATGGAGTTAGTACCGTTATAATAGGCTGGAGAGAGACCCCTCACCCCTTCTACCATGTGGGGACACAGCAAAAAGGCACCATCTATGAATCAGGAAACAGGCCATTACCAGATAACAAACCTGTCAGTACTTTGATCTTGGATTTCTCAGCCTCCAGAACTGTGAGAAACAAATTTCTGTTGCTTATAAGTTACTCATTCTACAGTATTTTGTTATAGCAGTCCAAACAGACTAAGATGGGATCATTAAAAGCATTTACTGAGTACCTGTGACATTTCAGAAACTGCCTTTATACCTCTGTCTCCTTTAGCCATGTGAAATAGGTATTAACAGGAACTGTGACTGGAATTTTAGGTAAGCAGAGCTCCACTGAAACATTGTGTTAAATTGCCTCTCAAGGAGAGGAATCGAGGAAGATTTGGCCCAGAAAGAAAGATTGAAACACTGCAACAATAGCTGAATTCCAGGCTTAGCAATAAGGATGCTAAATCTTATGCAGTAAGAGCTTTCCAATTATCATGACATGGACTGTCTGCGTAGGCTTCACCAATTCATTGCAACGGGGACTGGAAAGGGAGAGATCTAGAGTGTTTCACTCTTAAAATGCGTACACTGTCCTTTTTTTTTAACAACCAATTTTCTATCACAATTTAGAATTGTATTCACTAAAAGAAATGTTCAAGATCTAACCCCTAGTACCCTAATACTTGAGAATGTGACCTTATTTGGAAACAGTCTTTGTGATGTAATCAAGTTAAGATGAGGTTTTGGGGCAAGCTCTTCTAATGCAATGACTTTTATCCTCAGAAAATGAGTGAAATTTGAATAGGCACATGGGGAGAAAACCATGTAGCTGCGGAGGCAGAGATTGAAGGGACGCATCTACAAGTCAAAGAGTAGCAAGGATTGCCAGAAACCACTAGAAGCCAGAAAGAGGCAAGGAAGGATCCTCCCCTAGAGTCTTCAGAGAGAGTGTGGCCTTGACACCTTGTGGCCTCAAGAACTGTGAGACAATAATTTTTTCTTGTTTTAAGCTACCCAGTTTGTGGTAATTTTTTACAGCAGTCCTGGAAACTAATACAAACTTGATATTGGGAGGTACCAGTGACTGTTGCTTTATATAGCAAAAGAGTCTTTGTAGATGTGATTAAATTAAGGCTTTCACAGTGAGGAGACTATACTGGATTATCTAGATGAGTTTAAATCTGAACACAAAGGTCTTTCTAAGAGGGAAACAAGAAAGTCAAAGAAGGAAGGCAATGTGAAGATGGCAGCAGAGATTGGTGCGATGCAGCCACAAGCCAAAGAACACTAGTAGCATAGAGATGCTGGAAGAGGCCAGGAACAGATTCCCCCATGGAGCCTCTAGAAGATGCCCTGCTAATTAACTTGATTTTATCCCCATAATGCTCATTTTGGACTTCTGACTTCCAGAACTGTAAGAGGAAAATTTTGTGTTGTTTTATGCCACTACATTTTTGGTAATTTGTCATGATAGCAATAGCAAGCTGATACTCGAAGGTTACATAGTTAATTTGTGTAAGAGCTAGAACAGTACTGTACCTTTCATCTCCTGTTATTATTTCTGCACTATCTTAATAAGTTAAGCTTTGCATTTATCTAGCATTGTGGCAGCAGAAAAAAAGCCCCGAGTTTTGTGCACACACACATATACACATACGCACAAAATCAAAAACATAATATTCCTTTTTTATTTTTATTTTTAAACACAGTATTCTTTTTTATATATTTCAAGTGAATCATTTAATGTGAGTGAGGCTGAGTTAGATGTTACCATAAGTATTAACAGAAGAAAAAGGGAAAGTAAAGACATTTTCCCTCTACCATGAAAGGGTCTGATGCAAGATAAACTAGCTTGTTGGTTTAACAATAGCTCATTAAAAAGGCCAGAGAATCTGGGAGAAGATGTACTTGGAAGCACTATCCTCTGAAGGACCATTCCCAAGAGGACAGCAAAATACTGAAAAAATTAACTGACTCAAAAATTATATTGAGAGATCAAGAGAGTTAGTCACAGCTTAGAATAATTTCCAGAATAAATAACACTAGCTAGATTAGTAGTTCTGATGTTTCCTTGGAGTTGTCATAGCACTCTGTGTGAACCGAAGGGACTACAAACTGATGCCCCTTTGAACAGAGTGATTTTAAAATAATAGATTCTCTAGTGCGCCAACTGTGTTTTCAAGTATAATTCTGGTATTTGTACCTAGCAGTACAGAAGAAAAAGCAGCAAGGAGAAAGTGTCAAGTATATAGGACATAAAATGATTTGGCAGCCCTAGAATTCCCAATATGAGTCTTTTTCATCAGGAAAATCACAATCTGGCTCAGTCCAGGGTAACACTGGAGGCAATGACACTGATGGCTTGTTATAAGCAGGAGGCAACAGTGAAAGTATTGAATCCTGGCTATCTTCTTTCATCTGTTTGAAGAAAACATGGGACTATAAACTGCTTGCTGATGGCCTTTTCTCCTGATCTTGTTGCAAACACAGTGGTAAAAAGCTAAAGAAGGCAGGAGAGAAGGTTTTTGAGGATGGTGTGTGTAATCGGTCACTATTTACTGTGTGAGTTCCACTGGAGATAAGCACACTTGCTCCAATCCCAGAGTCTACACCTGACCGGGAATCTTTCATTTTGGATTCTGATTGTGGGAAAATACTGATATCCAATGGGCTATAAGGGGGAACTTTCAGTTTCTGTAACAGCATCTGAGTTCTCTTCATATCCTGGAAAGGCACCTGCGTACTGGCTAATTCACATGTTGTAATTCCAACACTGTAAATATCTGACTTCACATTATACCCATGTAAATCCTGTCTCAGTAGTTCTGGACTCAGCCATGGTTGCACTGATGTGCTGAACTGTGGGAAATCATACACAGCCCTATGGCTCTGTCCATGCTTAACCAAACTATGCAGATGAGACAGGCCAGAGAGGGTCACTAGGCCATCATCAGAAATGAGGATATGGCTGGCTTTACTACTCCTATGAATACAGCCATATTGGTGCAGATAGTTCAGTCCTCTCACTGCTCCAAAGAGAATGTTTCTTATTAAAGTTTTACCCATTCCTTCAGGAAAATAGGCCCTCAAGAGTTGACTTGCTGAACCATAGGCCATAAATGGAGAAATAACTCAAAGTCAGCTGTCAACACTGAAAACTGTCCAATAAGTTGTGATATTGGGATGCCAGAAAAAGTGGGATAGAATCATGGCTTTCTGTAAAACTTTCAGACATTCTTCATTGCAGTTTTCCAGATTTGTAACTTTTATAGTTACCAGTGTTCCTTTAGGAGTATGCCGTGCAAGATGGACAGAAGTCAAGTTGTCAAATCCTCTTCCTATTTCTACTTGGAGCTCATAGTGAGAAATGTTGATGGAACATACTACTTCACTGGCTCTAGTGGATGGACCCGACCAGGAAAGGGTTGGCTCATCGACCAAGTATTGATGGATGCTGGTTTCAGGCTTGTGTTTTGGGTTTGAGTGATCCAACTTGTGTTCTTGAAGTGCAGAAACAATCCAAAGGAGACACCAAATCGCTTTAGTTCACAGAAAGTGACAAAAATCCAAATATTCCAAAGAAGGCTTTTGTTTCATCTTCCTTTCAAGATGCAGATACATCATACCTAGCGGCGACCACGGCCAGCGATTCCCTTCAGGCTGCCAATGGTGCGGACCTGGGCGGGTGCTGGAGCCCGGATCGTGGAGGGGCAAGGCGAGTGCTCTAGGCCTGCTCCTGGCATGGGGTGCTGGAGGGTGGCAAGGCCACGACAGGGCCTATGGGCTTGGAACTCTAAACATAGTATTCTTATGGAGCCAACCGGAATATCTGGTCAACTGCGAGAGCTTTGGGAGCATGCCTCTCACCTCAAGAAACCTCCAGAGCAGATTGGAACCATCCACTGGGTAAATTCGGGAAAATCTATCTCTGCCTGAGACTGGAGTAGGAAGATGTGGGGTAAAGAGGAAGGTGGGGAAGGGATGTAGGATCTATTCCATGGGTGCATCTTTACTTGTTAGGTCATGCGTATTTTCAAACTTGGAAGAATTATATGAAAAGCAGCTAGAGAAACTATGTGGTCAAGGGCAGATTATTTTTCCAGGCCTCACCTTCCTTTTTTTCCTTGGTTCCTAATGATTTAGACTCTGCCTTTGAGCCTCAGTGCTGTTAACTTTTGAATGAGTAACTTGAGGCCTTCCTGAAAGACTACAATTAAAAACCCATATTACACAATCAGTAAGAACCCCCAGCTCTACGCTTGGAAACAGCAAGATATATGCCTGTCTCCCTTCTTCCCCAAATCACCCCTCAGCCTCCCACTCCACCCAGGGAAGACAATCAGATCCTGTGCCTTGTTTTCTAGGCAATATTTGGGTCATTTAATAAGGCTTTTTTGCACCCATCACTATAACCTGAAGCAAAAATTGTAGCTTTGGAAATGGTGTTTACAGCAGGCCCATGGGCAAAAGGTTTCAACCAGCAAAATTGAAGCAGTCACCAGATTATGGATCAGTATTTCTGTTTCTTTAAAGACAAACTTTTTTTTTTTTTTGTGGCTCCACCCAGTCTGAGCTTCCTGACTTAGAGGCTTTGGTAGGGGTGCAGGCACTTCTGCCTCACAGTCAAAGCAAAAGCAACAGCTCAAGCAGCCTCCTTGGAGAAAATCTGAAAATTCAACTTGTTCAAGAGAAGGTGAGCCTGGCTGAGAAGAGGGCCTGGGGCTATCAGGCTGTGAAAGGCAGTGAGGACAGGGTGTGTGGGTGGAGTGGACTCTGCCCTTAGGAGGGACAAGGCACTGTGCCAGCAGCACTGCAGAGAAGGGACTGTGGGAGGGGTGAGTAGGAAGGGGAGTGAGGAGATTTATTTGCACTTGAAAACTCAACTTGTTCAAGAGAAGATGAGCCTGGCTGAGAAGAGGGCTTGGTGCTATTGGGCTGTGAAGGGCAGTGAGGACAGGGTGTGTAGGTGGAGTGGACTCTGCCCTGAGGAGGGACAGGGCACTGTGCTAGCAGCACTGCATAGAAGGTGTTGTGGGAGGGGTGAGAAGGAAGGGCAGTGAGGAGATGTGTTTGCGGAGTCTATGCATCTCATATGTAACAGAACATGCGTGGCTGCATAGTGCACCCTCCACTCACTGGCTGTTGTGATAGACACAGAGTATTGCCTGATAACCTGCATAAGAAATTAAGGGCTCCTAAGGCAGGTTTGTAGAGGTGACAGGCAATTTAGGGTCCACCTGTCTAAGTCCCTCTTCTTACTGAAAAAGAATCAGAATCCCAACTCAAGGGGTACCCAGAATCCTAAACCAGAATCCCAACCCAGAATCCCAAATCCAAGGGGTGCCCAGATCACTCATGGCAGAGGAACACTAGAATTCAGTCTGCTGACTTTTTCCAGCATTAAGCAGAGACAAGCTGTGTCCCTAACAGTGTAACTTGTGGGGCTGCTCCGCCATTCAATACAAAATGAGTTGCTATAAAAGACCTTTATAGAAATCACTCTATGAAAGCCTAAGGACAACCCTGCAAGATTGGTTTTATTTTCCCTTTTTATAGCGGAGGGAACTAAATCTCAAGGAGCTTATGAAATTTTCTAGAACTGGTGGGTCTGGCCACAGTTTAGAACTGTCCACCTCTGTTGTAAATGCTTTTGTCACTTCTCAGCCTGTCTCTTAGCTGGAGGTCCTCTGGATCTTCCAAGAACCACTTGAGAAAGTTTTAAAGTGATTTTTCTGACTGTCTCTCTCACGTTTGGCTTCTCAATATGGGAGAGATGGAAAAGTCCATGAGAAATGCAGAGCCCTCCTCATAGTTCCCTTATCACAGGCTGGCTCCCAGCTCACATTTTGCAGAAAGTGTGGATCATCTCCTTGGCCCTCCACTGATCTATCTCTGATGCCATGTCAATGAAAATTTAGAATCATGGCCTGAGAGTAACCAAGAACAGGCGGTAGAGTGCATGGTTAAGAGTGAGCATGGTAGAGTCAGACAGACTTTGAATCGAATGTCTTCTCTGCCCAATACCTATTAGCACAGTGACCAGAGGCATGTTTCCCAGAATTTTTGAGCCACACCAGCTTCCTCATTTAAAAAATTAGAATAATAAAATTAGTTTCACTGTAGAGTATTTTTGAAGAGTAAACAAGATATACAAAACATGTTTTATCAGGGTGTTCTGATATGCAGTATATATAGTGTAACCACTATACATGGGTTCATTTTTTTTATTTGAGGAAAATTTATACTTATTCAAAGGTAAAAATAATATAAGGAACTTCCTTGTACCTATACTACAATCTAACAGTTATCAATTTATGCCAGTCTTGTTCAACTATCTGCTCCTATTCTCAACTCTATCACAGATTATTTTGAAGCAAATGTCAGACATTACATCATTTTATCAGTAAATATTTGCGTATGTGTCTCTGAAAGATAAAGACCATTTAAAAGCATTTTCACAATTTCATAAACAGGCTTCAAAAGACAATTATAAATTTTAATACTACCAGTTGTATTCAGATTTCCCTGAAGATCTCATAATTTTTAAAATCATTTGAGGTAGGATCTAAGTAAAATTCATACATTACAATTGTTTGACATCTCTTAAGTTTCACTTAATGTTGTGTTAAATTTCTTTGTTTAAGGAAGGGAAGGTCTTTTGTCCAACAGAACTGGACAGTATTCATACTGCTGAATGCATCCTAACAATGTCATTTAACGTTCACTTCTAGCTCTAGTGTTTTCTGTGAATTTATATTAATCGGGAGGTTGGATCAGATTAAAGTTTGACTTTGTTTTTTTAGTGGGAATACTTCATAGATGCTATCCTAAACTTCCATTAGAAGGCACATAATATTTGAGTGTCTCTCTTTTTGTGATGTTAGTAGATGTTAATGATTGTCTAGAATGAATTTGTTTCATTAAAAGTTACCAAAAGATGATATTGCATCATTCTTTATTCATTTATTAGATGGAATAGTCCTATGCAAAGGAACTTTCATTCAGCGATTCTTTCACTTTTGTGAGATATAGTTAAAAGATGAGATGTATGAAAGACAAAATAAATGCTTCTTTCCCTTTAGTTGTCATTGTTCAGCATGATGAGTCACTTTTCTAGCATACTTCCAAGGGAGCAATTAGCTTCTTTCAGGAACATGGTGTTGTTATAAACTACTGGATTTCAATATATTTGGTATATTTTAATCCATTGGAACAATCTTTATTAATGATGCTCAAATTGTTCCATTTTTGTCCAATTGGAACCTCTTTAAGATAGCTTCCAAGTTCTTCTGATAAAACTAAGTAATTTTTGATAACATCCCTGCTTTCTAGTATGAAAGATGTTATAGGCTAAACTTGTATGTTTACTGGCCCAGACCTGCAATCAGTACTTTTTCCTAGTAGTCCTAATTTATTTTGTGGGAAATGCCATTTGAAGATCACAATCTGGGTGTTAAGTGCACTCATTGCTACTTGGCTGACCATGGTTTATGCCTTTTAGATGGACTTCAAAACAGTACACACACACACACACACACACACACACACACACAGTGAAATTATTAATACTATATTTTCAAGCCTCTCAGGACAAATCTTTGTGTGTTTCATCCTTGACACAAAATACAATTAGGTTTATTTGTTCCATTTCTTTTAACTTTTACTGGTGTTTTAAAATATAATTTTTATTGTACAATTATGTAAACTATTGAAATGGTCTCAAGATCAAATTTGCAAAAACAAAGGATATTCAAAGAAGTCTAATGACCATTTTCTGTTCCTGTCCCTTGTACATTGTTCCTCTCATCTTCATATAAATATTTCTTTCATTTGTTTAGTTTTCAAATGGTTCTGCCATTGCTTTTTCACATGCACATAAAAATTATTTATACATAAAACTAATATTCTTTCTTACTATATAAATGGTAGTAAAAGATACGTTATTTTCTTCACTTGGCTTTTTTCACTTAACAGTATATCCCAGAGATCTCTTCATACTGGTATATAGATCTATTTCTCATTCCTTTTTGCAGTTGGATAGTACTTTTCTGTATGAATATACCTTAGTTTATTCAACTGGTCCCCACTGATGGCCATCTGATAGGGTTTTGATCTTCTGCTATTACTAATAGTACTGCATGAATAACCACATACATATATCTTTCTGTATTTTTGTCAGTGCAGCGCTGGGATAAATCCTAAAATTGGGATTGATAATCAAAGAGTAAATGCATGTGTAATTTTCCAAGGTATTGCTACTTTCTCCTCTATAGGTGTTAGGTTGTTTTCCCCTTCACACTAGTCATGCAGGACATTACCTGTTTTCCCCATACCTTTACCACCAGATTATGCTGGGAAATGTGTGGATTTTTGCCATACCTATAGTTGAGAAAGAGTTATCTCTGAGAATTTTTTATTTTTTCTATGTTTTTAATTTATTTTTCTCTATTGTGAATGAACTTGGATATCTTTTTATGTATTCAAGGATAATTTGCATTTTTTCCTTGGCTGCGTATTTATATTTTGCCCAATTTTCTAAATCAAGTCATTGGTCCTTTTGTTTCTTTTTACTTTTAGATATTCTTCGTACAATAGGAAAAGTAGCCGTCTTTGACATAAATTGGAAAAAATGTTTTCCTAGTTTTGATATTTGTGTGTTGTCTATAGTGTTGTATGCTTACATAATTTTTTAGATTTTTGTGTAATCAAAACCAG